TCCCAATATCGTGCATCACTAGTTTTAATTATATTCTTATTTTTATCTTGATGCGTTTTGTGTGACTTTATCAGTGCGATAAAAACGGCGTTTGTCTGGACTTACATCAGCATGGTTCTCAGCTTCAGGAAGTCGTTGTGCTCCGGGTTCTCCACTTCCACCACCCCCCACGGGTACAGGCGCCCCCTGACCTTCTTCCCCTTGGCCTCGATCTGCTGGTTGGACCCGACCACGGCGAACGGGATGCTGGCCTGAATGAGAGAAGCAGCACTTCCTGTTGCAGACGCACGGCTTCACGAGCCGCTGAGGAGCAGAGAGAAACCCACCTTGAGGATTCTGGTCTGCTCTTTAAAATCTTCGTCCTCGTCAGACTCGGCGTCGGGAAGGTGGTAGATCTTGATGCCGTGCTCGTCAATCTCGTCCAGGATCTTAGAGAGGAAATAAAACTCCATGAGCAGAGAGGCCGAGTCTGCAGGAGGGAAGCTCAACTCCTCCCCCGCCTCACCCTGCGCTTCAGCCTCTCCCTCTCCCTGAGGGTGAGCGTGTCGGCCTTGGCGATGACCGGAACCACGTTCACCTTGTTGTGGATGGCCTTCATGAACTGGACGTCCAAAGGTTTGAGGCTAGTTAGAAAAGGAAAGCAAGCGGTCAGTAAAGATCAGAGAAACGGAGCTTTATCAGGCAGGTTAAGGAGGGGGCGTGTCTCTGCACCCGTGGCCCAGAGGGGAGATGAAGTAGAAGCAGCAGTGGACCCTGTTGTCCACTATGTGTCTGCGGTTGAGGCCACTTTCATCGTGGAGGTAGCGCTCGAACTGGTCGTCGATGTAGGCGATGATGGTGCTGAAACTGGACCAGAAGAGAAACAAACATGGATTCCAGACGGTTCAAAGGGGAAAAAACAAAATTTAAAAAACATTTAACGGCATCTGTATTCAAAATGGCTTCCAACCAGTCCTGGCTGTTGATGGCGTCTCCGTATCCTGGAGTGTCTACAACCGTGAGACGGAGCTTCACTCCTCTCTCCTCGATCTCCACCGTCGATGCTTCGATCTGAACCGTCCTCTCGATCTTCTCTATCAGAGGGAAAACGCAGGAACTTTAGGGCCCATTCAATTAAAAACAGCTGGGGGTGTGTGTGTTTGGGGGGTGGATGGGTGGAGGTGTGTGCTTCACCTGCGGCCCCCGGGATGACTCTCTCAGGGTAAAGGTCAGTCAGGAAGAGGCTGTTGATCAGGGTGGACTTTCCGAGCCCAGATTCTCCTGCAAACAGAAAAGTTTCATGTTTTAAATCAAATCGGCATCGTACGACTTTTAAAGCTCTGATCCGATTTTTATTTACAACTTTTTGTGCTTCTTTAAAATTCCCAGCAGGTAAATATCAATGCTAATAGTTTGGAGATGCTCTGATAATTCTCTGATTTTTGGAAAGTATTTCCACTTTTGTTTTTGTAATTTGAGTCAATTTTTGTTTTTTTAATTCTGCATTTCTTTTTTATATGCACAAAAAATCCCCTTTTTTATTCTAGTATA